TTTGATATTTTTCGATTTTTGTTTTTTCCTTAATTTTTAAGAATGGAAAAATTTCGGGAAGAGCATTTTTGCACGTAGCTGTGCGTCCACTACATACTGACCAATTTAGAGGTTTGTGGGATTGTTTTGGACAAAAATCGATCTCTTGGTATTTGGAAACTTCAGGATTTGATCACGAACTCTGCGTAGATGAACTTTTTGTAAATATCTGAATATCATATTATAGAGCTTCCTTTTCTCTATCAACAATATGTCAATTCGGTAGCATGTTTGGGAAAACCTAATAGTATTGCACAATAAAAGTTATGCACATCATGCATTGATGTTGTGCGTTTCAGCTCTTGCAAACACTTCTCCAGTCTTTATTTTGTAACATAGTGGGCTACAATTTGCACATTTAGATTGGATTATGTCGAGTCTATCAATCTATGCTATGCCTTAAGATTCTACGTTTTCATTTTCTTCTATTTTAACTTTATCTGAAGGAGGCTCTTCTTCTCTCGGTTCTCTCATACGAGCCGCAACTGCAGCAACTACTGCTGCTCCAATTCCACTTCCATCTTCGGATAACATCAATTTGTACTGAAATGGTTTGGTAAGCGCGGTGATGATTTTTGCATGCGTTTTAAGTACTCGTAGATTTTCGTCGATAAGCTCAGCGATTTTGTCATCCAGCAACTTTGGAAAGAGAGGATGGTATCGATAAATAGATCCATCTATACCAACTGTTACCATAGGTCGCTGCAGTCTATTTATAAGAGTTGCAATGCCAGCTGCTAACAGATGAGCCGCCCTAAAAAACAACCTTGGATCAAAGGTATTTGTACAAAATGCTTGCCTTGCACTGATTACACTACAGATATAAGCAACATTGGCACAATCTGCAAAATACAGATTTCTCACTCCAAGCTGGCTAAGTGTACGATTTGTAGTTTGAAATGTTTTTTCATCCTCACCGACGAGATCTCTGTAGTTAAGAAGGAGGAATCAATTTGAGTCACGTATGTAATTGAGATAAGCACCCACTCTACAATATCTGATATAAATCTTGTTTTGAAACAGCCTTTTCGCGAAATGGCTTCCACTTCTCCACCAAATAAAACACCTTCTTTCGCTAAAGTTTCAATCACCAATCGTACTATTTCGCCCATATACACTCCCGCTATCATTTTTTCGAAGCTGAATTGGCGCGGTTTATCTTCTAAAACAAGATATAAACAGATGATAATCAATGAATGTTACATTTGTTTGCGTGGATTGACACTACTCTCATCTACTTGCCGATCAAAATCCGTATAAATGAATTTCAGACTTCCATCATCTCCAAATGCACCCCACTCAGTATTTATAACTATCTGAATATGAAGGGCTTGATCTGCGAAACGTTGAAAGACGTTTAGATATTCTGTTCTGCTCCACAACCATTCTCCTTATTGTATGATGTTTTTCAAATTGGCACAACCTCATCGGGAAATCCGTCATCAGATAATTCTGCCTGTAGCTTCGGAGCTCGTTCAAGCTGTTCCATATAGCAAGCATTAGTTCCGCTACCAATGATCACCCCTATCTGTAAGAAGTGTGATTGCTACATTTTTGACACCCTTTTCGGAATATTAGGTCGTTTCGAAAGTTCTTTTCGTTACTTTGACTTATCATAAAAACGCGTGGGATTTAGATGAGCAAGCATTCAAGGAACATTCAACGCAGTTTATCTTTCTCTTTTTAACAATCATGTATTCACACAATTTGCTTTTGTCGTTACTAAGATAACTGCAGAAATGTATAACCCGTCGTTGTTACTATGCCCAAGTTCCAAACCCACAGGGCGTCAATCGACAAACAACTCGGGCATTGTTCGATGCAGTTATTTCTCCTCTTTCTGGTGGGCGCTGCTTCTTATCGAATTGTAAATCTTTCGAAGATAAAATCACAGAACTTTGATTTTGGACTCCCTATAGCCGTACTCGAAATTTCATAATTCGATATTTCGCTGCGGAAAAAGCTCATTTGCTTTCGAAAATTGATGCTTTGAATTTCGACGTTGTATAGCAATTAAAAACATTATTGATCTTTTATCACAGCTAGTTCAGAAATTGGAATGAAAAATTTTGAAAAATCGCCAAACTTGTGTATGACAAAAACATGGGTTCGAAATTTTGGCCATTGTCTTGACGCTTACGA